GATTAAAAGGTTTCAATGTGATTGTTTCAGTTATGATGTGGGAGTACATAGGTGAGTAAGTGTGTACTGAGTATTTAGCATTTAGTCTAGGGTGATTAAGTGGCTTTTGAGAAGAGTCTTAAATTGATTTTCAGACTGGGTTACTTTAATATCTTCTGGTAATGAATTCCATATTTTGGGGCCCTTTATGTGCATAGAGTTTTTACACAGTGTGATATGGACACGAGGTATATCAAAAAGAGATCTGTGTCTTGTGTTGTGGTCATGTGTCCTGTTTAGGTTGGTGAGGAGAAGTTTGAGTGGAGGGTTTATATTTGCGTGTATTGTTCTGTGTATGTAGTAGGCACATGAATAAGTATGGATGTTCTTAATGGTGAGCAGATTCAGACTTTTGAAAATTGGTGGAGTATGCTGGCGGGAGTGGGAATTTGTTATCATTCTTACTGCTGCCTTTTGCTGGGTTATTAGGGGTTTTAGGTGATTGGATGTTGTTGATCCCATGCACAAATTCCATATGTAAGATAAGGGTATATGAGTGAATGGTACAGTGCCAGGAGAGCTGATTGTGGAACGTAGTACCTTATCTTTGATAGTATGCCTACAGTCTTGGAGATTTTCTTGGTGATTTGTTGTATGTGTGTCCGGAACTTAAGGCTACTGTCAAGGTGGATACCTAGGAATTTTCCCTCTGTGAGTCTTGTGACTGATGATCCATTTAGCGTTATGTTAATTGGATCATTTGCAGCTTTGTTTCCAAACTGAATGAAATAGGTTTTATCAGTGTTCAGGGTAAGTTTGTTAGTCATCATCCAGGCAGATATTTTCTGTAATTCAGCATTGACTGTGTTTGCTAGTATGACTGTGTTTGGGTGGGAAAAGACATATGTAGTGTCATCTGCAAATAATATGGGTTTGAGTAGCTGTGATGCATTCGGTAGATCATTGATGTAGATGAGAAAGAGGAGTGGTCCAAGGACGCTTCCTTGTGGGACTCCTACTGTGATTGGTTGGGTGGAAGAGTTTGCATCATTTGCATACACATATTGAGTTCTGTTACTAAGGTATGACTTTAGGTAGTTGAGGGAGTGGCCTCTGATACCATAGTGCATTAATTTGGAGTACAGCAGTTCATGGTCGACTGTATCGAAAGCTTTACGTAAATCAATGAAAATGCCCATCGGGACTTCTTTCTTTTCAAGTGCGGTATATATTAGTTCTAGCAGTTTTATGATAGCACATTTGCTGCTTTTATTATTCCTGAATCCAAACTGACAAGGGTTTAATATGTTGTGTGAGGACAGGTAAAGGAATAGATTCGTCTAATGAATTAATTTTTCGAAGATTTTAGAGAGCAGTGTTAAGTAGATATTGGTCTATATTATTCCAAGTCAGCTTGGGTCACCACCTTTATGGATCGGAGTGAACCCTCGCTATTTTGAGGATTGTTGGGAAGTAGATGATTCACAATGAATTTGTTAAAGAGCGTTGCAATAATGGATGACAATACTTGAATAACTTTTTTGTACATAAAAGCAGGCCAAGTTGTTTATGTTCTCCTGCCCTGTTTTTAAGGGTGTTTTTATGATGAGCGTAACTTCTGTGGGGTTGGTTGGAGCTAAGGAATAGCGTATATGGTAGGTACCTATGAGGTTAGTCTGAATTGGACTGTTGTGCTTGGTTATTTGTTTGCTAGATTTTTTTACCTTGGTGGAGGAGAAAACGTTAAGTCTGCTGTTTCGGTTGGTGTGAGTTGGGGTTCATCAGATTTTGTTAGCTTGATTGTTTTGTTTTTGGATAGCTTTTTAGTTCAAGAATTGCAGAGAGAGTTTTCCCAGTTTTTTTTTTTCATATCACCTTTGATGTTATGTAATCTATTTTAATAATTACAATTTTTTGGACCTTCTTATCAGCTGGTAAGTGCCGAAGAGTAACTTTTCCGACTGTTTCTCTAGTTATTTGACCCTTTATACTGTTTTTCATATTTGTGCTTTGTGTAATGGATTTCAGATGTTCGGTGTTAGCCAGGGATTATTTCATTCTCTTTGCTGTGATCGTTTTTTAGTTTTTCTGGGGCAATTGTCTTTTATAGAGTCATTGGGCTTTTTTTAGAAAATTAGTTATAGCAATCCATTCATATCTGTATGTTTCCGAGCTCATTTTGCCAATCGATGTTATTCATAGCTGCTATAAAGTTGTTACCGCCTGTCTTGTTATGTAGTCTGAAGGCTACTTTAGTAATATCTTGTAGCAGTTTGCCCAGATTAGTTATGAGAAAGGTGGGTAGTGGTCTGTAGTGGGGGGGGGGCGGGGGGGGTGGATCCTGATTTTAAAGCGGATATGGTGTTTTCCTAGATGTGGTCTGTTAGGTAGATGCTTGTCTCGAGATTTTTGTAGGTTTAGAATTGTTGGTAGCAACAGGCAGTTACTCACTTAGTTTGTGAATTCGGTTACTTGTTGGGCCTGGTCGTGTAGTATGTTTATGTGAAATCACCTGTTAGTATAGGTGGTCTTTTTCATGTGTGCATCAGTATCATGTTTCCTAGTTTTTCACTAAAGTGATAAATGTTTGACTGTGGTATCTGCAGATGTTTATAACTGTGGAGGGTTTGTCAGGTCTTTTGATTTAAATTTGGCTATGATTATATTCCCCAATGTTCGTCCTTGTGCAAGATTTATTGATACATTCAAGTTGATTTGAGTAGTATATAGCTGTTCCTCCTCCTCCCCCTTGCTGGTCTGTTCTACAGTTGTGTATGCCATGGTAAGCCAGGAATGGTATAGAAATTTTTGTAATATCAGCTTAAGCCAGGTTTCTGTGTAAGTGTGAATGATTGATATAATTGAATAAAAGGAATTGAGTAATGCTGTGAGGTCATCATAATGTTTGCTCAATGATCTGACATTGTAGTTAAAGATGGTTACGTTATTGTTTTGCGCTGGAGTAATGTCTTTGCTTGGTCTGCTGTGTAGTAATTACAGTTACTGGATGATTCATGTAATTCATTTTGTTAAAAAGTTTACGATCAGGATCTTATGTCTGTAATCACAGGATGAGAGTACTTTTACAACTAGATTTTCTGAGTAAAATGATATAAGATTCGATATTGGATCTAACAACTACTCTTATGACTAAGACCGTGGATTAATCTAAAACTTGTAAAACTTGAAAGAAAAGGGGATTATTACAGAATAGATAATTTAGTTATACACTTAAGCATCTAATAGCACCTTAATTATTTTAACAAGTGAGTTTATAAACTACAGTAGATATTTACAGCTAAAATAAAGGAGCTAATGAATATAATAATAAAAGAATGTATTAAAAGCAAAATCAGTAGCACCTGAGGTAGTCAATAGCACCTGGAGTATTTTAATAAATGTGACTATATGGACAAGAGGAGAGAAAAAAAATAAATAAACGAGCTTGGGAATATAATGGCAAAATAGTGAACTTATTACACTTTAGCCCCTGAGAATAGCACTTTGATTATTTTAACAATTGTGAATATATGAACTAAGGTAGTTTTATAAAGCTAAAATGAAGGAGAAAATATATAATATTCACAGAGGGTATATATAGGCTCAGAGTGAGGTGCAGTACTGAAAACAGTAAACCCTGCCATCACATAGTCTCTCCTGTTAATACTACACAAAGCACATTACAGAGAGTGAACATTGAAACAGGCTGCCTCTATCCAGCCTCCAATAGAAATATTTGTCTAACCTATTTTTATGTTACCCAAGTAATAACTTTTATATCCTTTTACTCATGTGCAAGTTAGTAGTTCTAACATATTGTATTACTACTACTACTACAACTTATATCACTACTACTATTACTACCACTAGTATTGCACGTTATTATATATACCCTCTGTGTCCATGTATTGTTTGTAACGGCTTGACAAAGCTCCTGGAGAGCGAAACGTTGCCAAAATAAAATGTCACATTAGTTGCACTTGTGTCCTTTTATTTTACATACAATCTTAACCATGCATACGTTTCTTTGTTTTTAAGCCTAGTAGAAATAGAATGTCTTTCTTTTTCTTGGAAAATCCTCTCCAGAAGACCAGTTAAATCTAGTAACACCCAACTGGCATTCCCCTGCCCACCGTGGGCCTGTATATATAAAGCTTTTCACAGCTGGTAGAATATTGCCAGTTCTGTTGTGAACTGCTATCCTCGCTCCCCGGCTTGAATTCAGCTGTCAACATGAAGCTTGTGAGTTGAACTTAGTTTTAATAATGTCTCATACAACGACTTTGAGTTATTAGTAATTAGGGAGTTTTACAACACAAAACCAACACTTTCTTTGTGTTCTTGGTAATGGGGAGCAATACTCACAACATTAGGCTTAACATGAAATTTTTTCTTTTTAATTTACTCTTTATGGTTTAATGTTTAGTCATTCATTGATCCAGCAAAACTTAGCCTAGCCTAACCTGGAACCTAACCTAACCTAACCTAACCTACGGCCTTTAAACACCAATGGTATATAATACCGACAAGTTGAAGAATTAGACATAGGTGCAACAACTGAGTATATTTATTACGTAGACGTTTCGCCATCAGTGGGTTTATCAATACAATACATCGACAAAAACAGAAGACTGACGAGGGACTGATTACGTCACCTTCTACCTCTTCAGTCTTCTGGTTTTTGTCTCGGTGATGTATTGATAAAGCCACTGGATGGCAAAACGTCTACATAATAAAGATACCCAGTTGTTGCACTTGTGTTTAATTCTTCAACTTGTCGGTATTATTGATGTTATGATACATATCAGACACAGCAACTCGGTACAGAGGACAACTCCACAACTACTTACTACCTATGGCCCAAGGGGAATCCCACGTACCAGTGACAACACCTTTGTCTGCTGCACCTAATCTGACTCCAGTATATAAGTCCACTTCCTGCCTGTGCTTCAGATTCATCAAGACTGCGGTACTGAGCACTTGCTGCTAAGTTGACGGACTGATTACCTCACCTTTTAAAGATAAAGACTAAAATTATTTATTTCATCATGATACAATGTTTGTAGAGATGGGTGACATTTAGGTGTGTATGTAGTCAATTAAAGCCCTTTTAGTTTTTGTCGTTTTTGTCCCTGCATTGTATTCATAAAACCGCTGTTTGGCGAAATGTCTACATGATAAGGACTCAGTTGTTATATCTGTGTGTAATTCTTCTAAGCTACTCTACCCTACCCTCACTTAACCAAACTGTTTTAGTCGCAGTTTTTTAGAAAGTAAACACTACCGTTTTAGACCGCACCCAGTAAGTTGGGTCTCCCATAAATATTTTTATTTTAGCACCCTAAGCAGTCTTGTAAAGTTTACTGGTGTAGACTTTCAGACATAAATTAGGAAAACTAAAAAACTGAGAGAAAATACAAAAGTAATTGAGGGTTTTTTAGTTATTCTTTTAATTTAAAGTTTGGCCGATATTTTTTTTTTAAAAGGGTAACGTGAAAATATTTTTTCCCTTATTTCCAAACAGGAAATAAATGCTGGGTTGACTGCACAAAATTTAAACGCATTCATGAAAGAATTCAAAAAAATTCATGGTCAAATCGTTTGGTTTTTACGATATCTTACAGTTTTACTTTATCCTGGTGGTGGGGAGTGATGCCATCTCTGTGCTGATGGGGGCAGCTCTGGCTGACCCTGATCCATCGGCTCTGGCAGGTCCAGGGCCCTCCCCTAACAGGTGTTGTCCCTGTGATGATGGTACTTTCCCTGGCGATTTTTAACCACAGCGGCCGCAGCGCGTTCTCCTGAATAAAATGAAAACTTTACCCTCTGTATTTGCTCGTAGATGCCACTGTGAGACGATGCTGCTAGATATCCAATATTGTGCAGGGCAGTACACAAGTGTCCAGTACTGTGCACAAGTTTTTAGTACTATAGGCAATTGTCCGGCACTGTGCGGAAGAGTCGAGTCCCTCAGCAAATAATTCTCCAGACACCAGGAAGATGTTGAGCCAATTCCTTCACTTCACCTGGACACAAGTTACTTCTTATCCCTGTTCCCACATCCAACTGTTGAAATTTCAACTTAATTTTGTATGTTAAAAAAAAACTCCGTATGTGATTACGCATTTATAAATAAAAGCTCTGTGTTATGTACTCTTTGAGTAAATACAAATATCCTTATGTCTTCTGAACAGTTTCCTTCAGAATCTGTCATAGGCCTACTGATCCACAAATGCAACAGAGGCACCACTTCTGGCCTTGCAAGTGCAGGTTCATTCAATGATGACAATAATAATGAATGTTTTTTTCATACACTAATGTGTGTATTATTATATTTTTTTTCCTGGAAAATCCAGTACACAGTGCCAGTTAAACTTCGTATTCCCTGAGTCGGCAACACTGCCGGTCTTTATATAAATACGTCTGATGACAGCCAGTTGAACAGTGTCGGTTCTGTAATGAACGGATGTCATTAATCTCAACCCGAGTTTAACTCAGTTATCAACATGAAACTAGTGTATTGAACACAGTTTTAGTCATGCATCATAAACCGATTTTGTGTTCTCAGTAATTTTTGGGACCTACTGATACAATATTTTGGTACTGGGTAACAATACCCACAACATATAAGCTATACTGGAAGCTTTTCGTTCTTTGTTGATGTAGCTAACAGTGTTAATTAGTTTACTCTCTCACTTTGGTGGTAAGTTCACTCACAGACTTAACATAACAGAACATAACCTCTCCCCTAACCTACCATACACTATTCTTACTTAACCTAACCTGTTTCAATCTCTGTATAAAAGAGTAAACACAGCCACTCTGCTTACACTTATTACAGTTTCCCTAAAAGATATTTATTATCCTAACACCACTAACTAAGCAGTCTTTTTAGTGACGTAGCACATACAGTTAGACAGGAGACGAAAAACTTAGAGCTAAGATACTGTAGGACATTTATCAATTTTTGAAGCAAAAGCAGTGGAAAACATTTTACTAAACATATTTCTCGTTATTAACCAAGCAGTAACATAAATATTTCTTTTGCTCGGTGGTACGAAATTAAATGCATTCAAAGAAAGATTTTATAGATATTGACATGAATCCTCGTATAGTTTTCGATATCTTACAGATTCATTTGATCTTGATGGTGGTGATGACCATCTCTGTGCTGATGGGATCAGTCCGAGCCTTTCCTGACCCTTTAGCCCTGGCTGACCCTGTTGCTGAAGCTTTGGCTGACCCTGCTGCTGAAGCTTTGGCTGACCCTGCTGCTGAAGCTTTGGCTGACCCTGCTGCTGAAGCTTTGGCTGACCCAGCTCCTGAAGCCCTGGCTGACCCTAATCCCTTGGCTCTGGCTGGCCTAGTCCCCAAACGTCGGAAGGACTGCCCCTGTTACACCATTTTCGGTCCTTGCCCTTTTATATGCTCATAGACGCCATCGATATATGGCGCTGAGAGATGATATAGCCAGATGTCCAGTGTTGTACGTACATGTCCAGAACTGCCCACATGCGTTCATTACTATAAACAAGTGTCCGACACTATACAGAAGTGTCCATTACTGCACACAAGTCTCCAAACACCTGCAAGGTATCTGGTCAACTCCTTCACTCCACCAAGACACAACCTACTAGCATCATTCTTATTCCTTTCCCAAATCCATTTCTTGACATTTTAATTGAACTTTCTATCTTAATACTTTGTTTGTGATTATTATGTACTCACAAATAAAAGATTCACATTATATAACATTTAATTAACTACATATAACCTTACCACTCCTCGACAATTTCTCTCGGTATGTTGTTCTGTGTCTCTCAGGTTTGTCCTCGCAGTAATGTCGTGAAGTCAAAGGTACTCTCTTCATTTTTTTTTCAACAAGTCGGCCGTCTCCCACCGAGGCAGGGTGACCCAAAAATGAAAGAAAATCCCCAAAAAGAAAATACTTTCATCATCATTCAACACTTTCACCACACTCGCACATTATCACTGTTTTTGCAGAGGTGCTCAGAATACAACAGTTTAGAAGCATACACATATAAAGATACACAACATATCCCTCCAAACTGCCAATATCCCAAACCCCTCCTTTAAAGTGCAGGCATTGTACTTCCCATTTCCAGGACTCAAGTCCGACTATATGAAAATAACCGGTTTTCCCTGAAATCCCTTCACTAAATATTACCCTGCTCACACTCCAACAGATCGTCAGTCCCAAGTACCATTCGTCTCCATTCACTCCTATCTAACACGCTCACGCACGCTTGCTGGGAAGTCCAAGCCCCATGCCCACAAAACCTCCTTTACCCCCTCTCTCCAACCCTTTCGAGGACGACCCCTACCCCGTCTTCCTCCCCTATAGATTTATATGCTTTCCATGTCATTCTACTTTGATCCATTCTCTCTAAATGACCAAACCACCTCAACAACCCCTCTTCTGCCCTCTGACTAATACTTTTATTAACTCCACACCTTTTCCTAATTTCACGCTCCGAAATTTCTGCATAATATTTACACCACACATTGCCCTTAAACAGGACATCTCCACTGCCTCCAACCGTCTCCTCGCTGCTGCATTTTACCACCCAAGCTTCACACCCATATAAGAGTGTTGGTACTACTATACTTTCATACATTCCCTTCTTTGCCTCCATAGATAACGTTTTTTAACTCCACATATACCTCAACGCACCACTCACCTTTTTTCCCTCATCATTCTAATGATTAACCTCGTCCTTCATAAATCCATCCGCCGACACGTCAACTCCCAAGTATCTGAAAACATTCACTTCTTCCATACTCCTCCTCCCAATTTGATATCCAATTTTTCTTTATCTAAACATTTGACACCCCATCACCTTCCTCTTTTCTATGTTCACTTTCAACTTTCTACCTTTGCACACATTCCCAAACTCATCCACTAACCTTTGCAATTTTTCTTTAGAATCTCCCATAAGCACAGTATCATCAGCAAAAAGTAATGTGTCAATTCCCATTTTGAATTTGATTCCCAAAATTTAATCCCACCCCTCTCCCGAACACCCTAGCATTTACTTCCTTAACAACCCCATCTATAAACCCCTGGTGACATTACATATCCCTGTCTAAGACCTACTTTTACCGGGAAGTATTCTCCCTCTCTTCTACACACCCTAACCTGAGCCTCACTATCCTCATAAAAGTCTTTACAGCATTTAATAACTTACCACCTATTCCATATACTTGCAACATCTGCCCCATTGCTCCTCTAATGCACTCTATCATATGCCTTTTCTAAATCCATAAATGCAATAAAAACTTCCCTACCTTTATCTAAATACTGTTCACATATATGCTTCAATGTAAACACTTGATTTACACACCCCCTACCCACTCTGAAATCCCCTTGTCACCCAAATCCTACATTCTGTCTTAAACCTCTTTTCTTTTCAATTATAGCCCTACCGTACACTTTTCCTGGTATACTCAGTAAACTTTTCCTCTAAAATTTTTTACTCTTTTTTGCCCCCTTTCCCCTTTATAAAAAAGGGATATACATGCTCTCCCCCCAAACCCCTGGGTCCCTTTCCCCTCTTTCATACATTTATAAAAAAAAGTCCCAAACCACTCCAAATTTTACCCCCCCCTGCTTTTTAACATTTCTGTCATGATCCATCATTCCAGCTGCTTTATCCCCTTTCATTTTACGTAATCCCTCCTCCCCCCCCCACCTTATTTTTCTGCTCTTCTTCCTCCAAAAAGAGGGTTACCTCCCTGCCATGCAGAAATTACCCCTCTGTTTCTTCCTTAACATTTAAAATTTCCCCTCAAAACATTCTCCCCCACCCCCCCCAATACCCCCCCTTCCCCTCTACTAATCCCCTACTTTTTTTTAACTGAAAAAATTCCAATTTTCCCTAGGCTTTCTTAACTTGTTTAACTCACTCCAAATTTTTTTTTTATTTTCTTTAAAAATTTTTTTGACAGTGCCTCTCCCACTCTATCATTCCTCCTTTTGCAACTCTCACCCCTTCTTTACCTTTTTTTACTCTCCTATACTTGCCCCCTTCTTAAACCTTCTGCTTTTTAAAAAACCCCTCAAAGCTACCTTTTTCTCTTTATCACACCCTTTTCTTCATATTCCCCCCAATCACTCCCCTTTCCTCCCGCCCCCACCCTCCTATAACCACAAACTTCGCCCCACTTTTTAATACTGCATTTTTAAAACTATTCCAACCCTCTTCAACCCCCCCACTACTCATCTTTGCACAGCCCACCTTTCTGCCAATAGTCGCTTATACTCACCCGAACTTCCTCCCCCCCTTGTTTATACACTTTTCCCAAACCCCCCTCTTACTGTTGTTGCCCCCTTCCTCTTTTTTCCCCTCTACCCTTACTCTAACTGTTTCCGACAACCTTTCCCAACCTAACCTCTAACGTACTACAAAATAATAATGATCCGATATATCATTGCCCTTCTAAAACATGTACATCCTGGGGGCCTACCCACAACCTTTTATCCCCCAATACATAACTAACAAACTACTTTCATTACTTACAAATACCTTGTTTATTTTTTTTATCCCCTTTTTTTAAAAAAATGTATTACTTATTACCAATAATATTTTTTTTCAATGTGACTGCATTGCAAGAGATTCTGAGTAAAAAAAAAAAAATTTGTTTTTTTAGTTTAGTTTACAGCTTTTTTAAAAGTAGGATTTGAATAGAAAACGAAAACTTTTTTTTAAAAAAAAAAAAACATAGTAGCCACTGTTATTGTCAAAAAAGTTTTTCCCTTATCATGTAGTACAGGTAGTACGTGTAGTACAAGTAGTACAATGTAGTCCATTATACAGTGTATTTAAGTGTAACGTGATTTCAGGTAGAAAGTGAGTAAGGTATTACAGGTATACTGTAGTACAGGTAGAAAATGTAGTACAGTGTATACAGTGTAGTACGTGTATTTAAATGGGCAGTGTAGTACAGTGTAGAAAATTAGTAAGTGTAGTCAGGTAGTACAGTGTAGTACAGTGAGACGTGTAGTATAGTGTATTTTTAAGGTATACGGTGTAGTACGGTAGTACATGTTTACAGGGTAGACAAGTAGTACAGTTAGTACAGTGTATTAGGTATACGTGTAGTACAGTGTAGTACTGTAGAACGGAGTAAGGAGTAAGTGATTACGTGTTTTCAGTGTGAAACAGGAGTAACAGTTAGTAAGTGTAGTACAGTGTAGACGGTGTAGTACAGTGTGTACAGTGTATACAGTGTAGACAATTTAGTACAGTGTAGTACATGTAGAAAATAGTGTATTACAGTGAAATACAGTGTGTACAGGTAGTAAGTGTGACATGTAGTATAGTGTATTACATGAGTTCAGTGTAGAAGTGTATACGTGTAGTCATGTAGTAAAATGAAGTACAGTAGTACATGTAGTACAGTGTGTACATTAGTACATGTGACATGTAGTAAAGTATACAGTGTAGTCAGTGTAGTACAGTTATACATGTATACAGTGTATACAGTGTGTACGTGGTAACTGCAGGGGGGTGAAAACTCGTGAAACAAAGAAAAAAATAGCATGCTACGTTTTTCTTCTTTTAAAACCAAAAGATAAAACAAACTTTTTATTAAAAAACATCGGATGCAAAACTGATATAACCGAACTAAGAGAATTGCATGTACGCAAAACGAAACCAATAACAAGAGACACGTTTAATTAGGTCGGGAAAAAAATTTTTAAGTTAACTTTCTAAAACTCTCCTCCCGTCTCCACCGAGGAGATCCCCGAAAAAAAGGAAACACTTTAACTGTCCTGATCAATCATTTCCCAGATTCTTCTGACATCGCACCTCAATAACACCCCTGGAGAAATCCCCCCACCCACTAAAAAACAAAAACTCATAAACCCAACAAAACATTAAAGGCCTCAAAAAAAATAGTTTTTTGAAGACTATTTTATACTATTTTTTTAATAAATAAGCGGCGGGTCATATTATCATTGTGGGGGCAAAACCTTTTGATCTTTAAAAAATTTTAAATGTAAAAAAAACTTCAAAAAACAGGGGGCAGTAAGCGAAGTTGACTAAAACAGTAAATCAATAAAAAAAATAACAAAAACTCGTCTTGGAAATTGTTGCTACTTTCGTAAAAATTGATGTGGATGGAAACATTATTTTTTAGTTAAGCTGCCAAAAGAGCACGAAAGAGGTGGAACTTTTTGATTCACTTTTACACATGGGGACGTCTCGACGCAGCACCACACGGGTTGAGAAACTTGGACATCTAACCCTCAGGAAGCAGTAGGAAACTACCGTCCTCTCAAAAAAAAAAACTTACTTTTTAAAAACACCAAAACCCGGGCTTTTCATTATTTGGGAAAATTTAAACTTTTTCCCACGAAGTTCTTTAAATTTAAAAAGTCGGGGTCACGACCAGATTCGGTTCGCTCCATTATTTTGTTTATTCATTACATCGTTATTTTCTACTCGATTTCATCATAAAATTATTATATATATATATTTTATTATTTATATATAAATATATAATATATATATATATAATATTATATATAAATAATTTTTTAAACGTTTAAATAAATTTTTTATTTTTTATTGAAAATTTTTAAAAGTAAAAATTTAAAAAAATTTAAAAATTTTTTAAAAAAAAATTTATTTTGTTTTTAATTTTAAAAATTTTTTTTTACAAAATTTAAATTTTTAAAAAATGAAAAATTTTTTTTTAGGTTTAAAATTTGG